AGTGCGATTGGCACAGGACAGAGCGGAGTTTAGGGCTGTTGTACATAGGGTCGCTATGAGTCGCAGGCGACTCGACGGCACATAACAACAACAATAACAATAAACAAAATTTTATTATGAATATTTTCTCCACAATACAACTTTAGAAGAATTATCTCACTAGACTTGATTCTCCTGAGAGCAGTTATGGAAATTTAGAGAAGATCCCCCTCCTTCTACTTTTGGTACAAAACAAATAGTTTACTGAGAGTATACATATACACTTAAAAAAATAGAACCCCACAAATACCAGACTTTTAAGAACCATACACCTGGTCTCCCACCTAAATAGACACATCTGAAGGAATGGTATTCACATACCTGCTTTCTGAAACAGAGCCTTGAAAATAGATAAATATCAGGCTTTTAAATACCACACACCTGGTCTTCCATATAGACACGTCTGAAGTTTGCATAAAACTTCAGATACAAGTTTACAATCCTATAGTGTTTATGAAAGGAGTCTGAAAAATCTTATGAATAATCTCCTACATGAAATCTTTCCTGGATATGACTTGGGTACAGATTTTCAAGATGTTCTGTCATCAGAAAGCTGTTCTCTGAGTCACCAGAGCACAGAATGTCATGGAGTTACAGTGACAGACTGGGACAGAGCCTGTAAAAGTTCACATTACATATTTTTAAGTTTAATTAGAATAATCTGTTTTTCTCTCTATTCACAATGCTGAGATGTGTAAATGAAAGAGGGAGGAGGGAAAAAGGTAGCAATGGGATTTTGAAAACTTGTTTTCACACACCTCTCATGTTCACTTTGAAACTTTAGGCATTATTAGGTCAAAGAATACAATGAGATTATATCCATTTTAACAGAGAATTAATTTCTTTTTATTTTCCTTTTTTAAAAAATTGTATAAAATGAGAAAGAGTATGTTCATTAATTGAACTATTTTCAGGTGCCAGTTTGGAAATAGGTATTACATTAGTCATGTTGTACAATCATTATTCCCAATCAATGCCAAGTGTCCCATCAACATAAACAAATAGTTATTCACTGCTTCTCAAACAATGGCTGCCCTCCCATCCCAACCTCAGTAGCCACTAATAAAATATGTCTGTCTGGTCATTTTGTAGAAATACGTTCATACAATATGTATCCTGAAGGGAACTCTGGTGGCCTAGTGGCAAGAAGCTGCACTGATCCACACAGTCAAATGCTTTGCATAATCAATAAAGCAAAAGTAAACATCTTTCTGGTAGTCTCTGTCTTCAACTAAGGTCATTTGACATCAGCTTCTTATGCCACAACCTCTTCTGATTCCAGCCTGAATTTCTGGCAGTTCCCGGTTGATGAAAGGAACTCCTCTACAATTCTAAAGAGCAAAGACTTAAGTTTAAAGACTATAGGGCACTTGACTCAAACCTTGCTATTTTGAATTGCTTCCTAAGTATCTCAAAGTTGAATAATGAATAAGGAAGACTAAAGAAGAATTGATAACTTTGAATGTAGTGTTAGCAAAGCATATTGAATATATCATGGACTGGTGGAATAATTGTAAAGAATTGTACTGCCAGCACAAAGGTATGTGGTTCAAATTTACCAGCTGCTCTGCAGGACAGAGATGGGTAGTTAACTCTTCTACTACTTACTGCCTCTGAAAACCTACCGGAGGGTCAACTATGGGTCTGTTATGACTCAATGCTACACAACAACAAAAGCAACAATCAAAAGAACAAATCTTTCTTGAAGGAAGTGCACCCAGAATGCGTCTTGCAAGCAAGCATGGTGAAACATCATCTCACTTTCTTTAGATGTATCTTCTAGAGGAACCAGTCCTTGGAGAGAAACATGATGCTGGGTAAGGTCGAGGGTCAGCAAAAGAGAAGCAGACCCTCAAGGAGATGGATTGACTTAGTGAATCCGCAGTGAGTTTAACCATGACAGAAACTGTGTGGAAAGTGCTGGACAGGGCAAGGCTCAGATATGTTGCTCATAGGGTACCTGTAGGTCATAGTGGACTTGGCACCTAACGACAATATTCTGTATATTGTAGTTGTTAAATATTTATGCAACCTTGAGAACATTTAGGTTGTTTCTACCTTTGGGTTATTATGAATGATGAATGTTGGCATACAAGTGTCTGTTTGTGTCCCTGCTTTTAATTCTTTTGTGTGTCTGTATATCTAAGAGTATAATTGCAGGCTCAGAAGTTCAAGTTGAGTTTAGAAGAGGCAGTGCAGGAATATGATTATGTCAGATGCATCCTGGTAGAAAGCAGAGAATACCACAAGTTTTACCATTGTATTTTGTTGGCTATACAAAGGTATTTGACAGTGTAGATCATAAAACTGGCAAATATTGAGAAAAAAGGGAATCTCAGAACACTTATTAGTGCTCATACAAAAATCTATACCCAGACCAAGAATCTGTTGTCTGAACTGAGCAAGAGAGCACTGTACGGTTTAAAATCAGGAAGTGTGTACATCAGGGCTGCATACTTTTTCCATACCTATTCAATCTGAAGCTGAACATTGTGCCACTGATGTGTCAAATGCCTTAATGGTTACTCATGGCAGACAGTGTTTGGTGGAGTTCCCTGATTAAAACAAGCTTGGAAGCAGGAGTGGCATCTACTTCTGTAATAGTTTGCCTCTGGAAACCCTATGAACCTGGAGAAAGGATCAAAGTCACACAAGTGTTAAGGACTTTAGTTCATAGGGTTGCTATGAGTCACCTATGACTCAATGTCACTTAATAACAACAACAACAACAACAACATTCAATCTATATGCTTAACAATCAATTTGTGAAGCCGAACTCTATGAAGAAGAATGTGGCATCTGGATAGGAGGAAGACTTATCAATAACTTGCATTGTGTAAATGGTACAACTTTGCTTGCTCGAAGAGGACCTGAAGTACTAGCTGAAGAAAATCAAGAATATAGCCTTCAATATGGATTACATCTCAACAACAAGAAAACAAAGATCCTTACCACTGGGCCAGCAGGCAACACCATGATAAATGGAGGAAGATTTGAAATTGTCCAAGATTTCATCTTACTTGGATCACAATCAATACTCAACAGCAGTCAGGTGATAAGGAGACATAGTGCTTTGGGAAAGTCTACTATAAGGCAACTCTCCAAAATATTGGAGAGCAAGGATGCAAATTTGAAGTCTAAGGTGTGAGTGGTTCAGCCTATGGTTTTTGTTTGGGTGTTTTGTTTTTTGTTTTTTTTAAGTAAGTATCTTGGTTATTTTTAGTGAAAGAAAAGCAGCCTTTTCCATAGGGGACAAGTGAACTGAAGGTCAGAAGGAAGCTGGGTGTGGCCATTCAGCAGGTTGAGCACCAAAGCCCACAAGTGGTCAGAGAAAGGCCTTTTGGAGGTAGAGGCACTCAGCCTGGGAACTTGGGCACCCAGCTGGCACAGCAGAGGGATTGGGGGCCGGGGGTTGGACTGATCTGCCTGCCCTTGGTCATCGTACTGATAAGAGTGGATCATTGAGTGATTTCCACTTGCAGTAGGTTGGCATGATTAATTAGCAATTAAGGAATAAGAAGGTTATTCAGTTGGATTCTGAATCACAATCAGGACATAGTCTTTCTCTGGTGCAACCATAATTTCACTTTTCTTGGAGAGAATTCGAAGGCAGGTGAGGTCATTCTGGGGGTAGATTTTTCGCACTGTGCTCATGTCTTCAAGTTGAAGTTGTGCATGAGGTTGGCGTACTGTGTGACAGTGGAACTGTCCATGGAACTTTTGACGGGAAAGCCTTCCGTGTTCACTACGGTGATTCTCTGCCCTTCTGGCTCTGTAGTTGCTTCAAAGTCTCTTCTACTTCTGCACTCTCTGGACAGGCTGAGTAGCTCTGCTGCACTAGCACTTGGCCATGGTCTTTTCAATCACTTGTTATGCATCCGAGAGCTAGACAATGAATAAGGATGACAAAAAAAGAATTGATGCCTTTGAGGTGGGGTGTTGGAGAAGAGTGTGTAGAGTCCCAAAAGAAAGATCAGGTATGTCTTAGAAAAGGTGCAAGTAGAATGCTCTATGGAAGCAAGAATGCCGAAGCTTCATCTCTCATACGTTGGACATGTTCCTAGGAGAGGCTATTCCTTGGAAAGGGACATCATGCTTGGAAAGTTGGAGGAAAAAAGGAGGAAAGGAAGACTCCCTAATGACATGGATTGAGATAGTGACTGTAGCAATGAGGTCTAGTGTGTCAGAGATTGTGAGGATGGCACAGGCTAGGTCAGGATTTAAGTCTGTAATTTATAGGGTCACTTTGAGTCCTACTAAACTCAATGCCACCTAAAAACAACAACGTTAGTTCTATGTTCACTTTTTTTTAAGAACTGCCCAACTATTTTCCACAGTGGATGCACCATTTTATATTCTCACTAGCAATGCTCTTGGCTTCCATTTCCCCCACATCCTGCTATATTATGTTGTTCTTAAACAATCTTAGTCAATCTAGTGCTAATGAAGTGCATCCCTCTGATGGTCAAATAAGTAAATTCTCATTTCAGAGAACTTTTTTTGTGTGCAGTGCATGACTAAGGAGCCCTGGTGGAGAATACATTGGGTATTAGGTTGCTAACCAAAAGACCAGTGGTGTGGATCCACCAGGTGCTCACAGGAGAAACATTTAAATCCTTGGAAACCCCATGAAGGGTCCCTGTGAGTTGGACATGACTTCATGGCAGTGGGTTTTTGGTTTATTACATAGCTAGATGCAAAACATACATTCTTAACCATCATACATTTCAAAACAATCCAAACAACCCACTGCTTAACATTTCTACAAAATCTCAAACTGCCTTCTAAAATTAGTATACCAGTTTACACTCTCAACCAGCAATATAACAGCCTATGTTAGATGGCTAAAAGTTGATGTTGTCACTGTTTTTGTTTTGCTAATCTAGGTGTACTTTCATAGGTTTTTCTGTACAGAAATGGCAAAGGAGGTTGAGTTTTCAAGTATGGAAATACAAAGGAAGAGGAACAGTTGTAAGCAGACACTGGTGATTGGGACATGGAATGTGAGAATCATGAATGTAGG